AAACCTGGTCTTCCTTTTTCTTTTTTTGAAAAATTTACTGGATGTCTAATATAGTTAATATTCAGTAGAATGTGAGAATAATTTTTATACAACTCTGATAGTTAGAAAGATAGATAACTCAATTATTAGATCATCTATCAAAATATTCAGATGTGTAAGAGGCTACTAAAAAGATTGATGACTGAGAAAGTCCACTGATTCTCCAGCCATCATATTCATGCATTTGGCTAGACAACATTTTTCGCTTCCTTCACAAGCAAGCTTCATTACCCATCACTCCACTGAAAAGAGTTTATTATGAGGCTGCCATCTTGGGAAGACTATTATTTAGATGATAAATGTTGGAGGGGGGAGTGTGTCTAGCCTTTTTTTAAAGATGAGCTTTGTGACAGATAAAACAAACAGCATCTACATTTCTAATTAACTTAAATTTGGCAGATACAAATACAGGTCAGTAATGCTATAGTATGCTGCTGGAATATCTTCTATCTGAAATTTACTGTTAATTTGTAAAATGTAAATGAACTAATTAGAAGAAGAGCAGGATCGTTTGTGACAAACCACTTCTGTTAGTTCTTTGCTTATTGACATTTATGAGCAACTGAACTTCCTTATTCCGATTTAGGATAATTACCCTTATTCATTTAATTTAAATTTTCTTTAAAAAAAAATTAAATTAAAACTTCCATTTGGAAAATGCATACAGAAAAATATTACATGCCATAGAATAAAGAAGGATTTAAAAGCCCCCCCTCAAATTATTATGCCATAGAATAAAGAAGGATTTAAAAGTCCCCCCTCAAATTATTCCAATGGGGTTTGGAATAGTTATGAATATGTCATTTTGTGTACTACATTTTAAAATATCCCAAATAATGTAGCTAATGTTTTAAAATAGATTCTTGCCGCACGACTGTATGGCTAGTATGTCCTAAAGTAAGATGATTCTATTTTTGTCAATTACTTTTAACTTCTTTCTTTACACACACAGCGAAAGCTTCGTAATTTGATTAGCAAAGCACTCATAAAAATTACACAATGGAAGAGGGAATGTAGCTAGGCCTGAGTTTCAGCAAGCAAAGCAACCTTCTTAAATAATAATTTTAAAAAATGTTTTGGTTCTGTTCAGAAAATGTTTCTACCATTCATATGTAGATAAAGACTCAACAATAACATGTACATTCAAAATGTCAGATGTAAATGTCAATTAAAAATTACAAGGAGTTCTGAAAGGTAAGGTCTGTGGGGGCTGACATTCTTTGACATAGTGGAGTGTCTGTGACCAGGCCTTTGGCAAACATAGCAGGATCTATGCTGTCAGCTCTTATCGTACGTAAGCCTAGATGCTTGTCTAATCTGAATGAGAAATACCAAGGAAATTGGAGCTGATGCCTTGCAGTAATATAGATGGAAGCTGAAAGCGCTCTGTCTGTATTATGGAATAGCCTCCAATGATGCAACAATATTTGAAAGATTAGAGGAAAAATATAAAGAAATATAATTCAAACAATGAAAGATCATCGTACTCTGTTTACTTTTAGAAAAAGCACAGAAAAATAGAACAGCGTCAAAAACATTTATAAAAGATTGTCTAAATCTGGTGTACTACTAAAATGCTCAATATGGAAAACATTTCTCCCAAAGTGAAATTTACTAGCTAATGTAATCTTAATTGCACTTTATGTGACTTTATTCTTGTTGTGTTGCCACCACTGCTGAATTTTTACTGCAAAGAAAAAGAACACTATCATAAACATACTGTACTGATATCACAAACTTTAGAATTCTGAAGATTAGGCTATTATCCAAACACTAAAAATTTATTCCTTCAGACTAAAGATGCTTTATACTACTTACTTTGGAAAAATTATCCGTTAACAGCAGAATCCTCTGCACAATCAGAAATCCTACTGAATTAAAGGAGACAGTCCCAGGAAAGTATGCATAGGATTGATTGAAAGAAAAATACACAGCTTACACATAAGCTTTAAACAAATATACAACTTTCTGCTCACAAACATTTTACAGGGTTCCTTTGAAGGCCTTGAGGATAACAAGGTTCCTGTGAGAAAATTAAAATTCACTACTTTTTATTGCTCTGCGTAGACTCATAATAATTCCCCCCCCCACCTGACAATGATAGCCTGAATGAAAAATGACAGTAATTCATGACTCTAAATTCATTCAAGCCCATTTCTGAAACAAGTTAACTAATGCTAGGACAGGCATGGGAGATAAGAGAGGGAGAGAGAATGTGGAATTTGTGAAATTCCATAAGCACTAGAAGGCTTAAGCAATCCTAAGTCCCTGAGTGTTGGAATAAGGTCAAAACCTTTCAGTATTGTACCAGTGTGTCAAAATATGTCAACAAACCATCATACTGCAGGAAGAAGAATGACCTTTCAGTTCTTTGTGTATTGGCTGCCAATGAAGCTTTGGATACTGGGTATGCATGAACAGTTTTCCTAGATGCTTGACAAATGCAACTCCCAAGGTTTCCACTAAGTCCGTTTGTTGAGCCACTGTGTTTCATTTCACCAATACAACTTTTTAAGCCCCTAAACTGCTAGATATTGACATTGTGCTAGGGAAAGGATGTCTTCCTTTTCCAAACATTTCCAAACAATTTAACTTTACCTCAACGTATCAACTGATAACATTATTATCAAAATACTCAGTACTGTACGTTAAATAACTTTGTCTTCCTCATATCTTTTTGCACATGTGTGATAAATGGTATTTTATAGACGCAAGTTAAAATGGAATTTAAGTTTTACTTTCTTTGAACATTATACTTTTTTATCTTCACCAGGTGCAATTTAGGCTGCAATTCTAAACCCACTTACTTGAGAGTAGGCCCACTGAACATTATGCGCAGACATGAATTATTTTATTTTTATATGTCTACATCACCCTTCTTCAGAAGATCACAGGGCGGTTTACAATATAAAAGCCCCTAAATATACACCAAATAACAATCCATAGACTGTATAATTAGGCAAAGCCTTGGGAGAAGAGGGTTTTTTTGCCTGGTGCCTATGTATGTATAGGACTGTGCTATTCTAAGCACACTTAGTATGGAGTACAGGTCACCTTAATCTCAGTGTAACTTCTGAGCGAGCATTTAGGATCACTTGGTATGTGCCATTTTTAGAAAGGAACTTTGGGTGTGTTGATTAGCAATGAACACACTCGGAAAATTTCGAACACTCCTATTGACTAAATAGGAACTTTCCTATTTAATCAATAGGAGTGTATGCAGCGTACTAAAGACATTTAGATTACAATTAAATAGTGAAAGATTTCAGTAGATGGAAGGTTTGCTATTCATATTCAAAGAGTGTAGAATAAATGCTACTCTCATTATGTAGAATTATCATTATTCTAATATCAGTGTCAAAGAAGACATTTTGTTAGTGCCTTCTTCAAACGTAGCAAAGTTACTTCCGATAATAACAGCGTCAAGGTTTCTCCTGGGACTCACTAAAACATAGTCTAGAGACACGACAGCCAGATTTGCAAACAATGGAAATAGTAAACTGACTGCATCCTTACTTACTGTAAGTCATAATTGACAGTGAAGTTACTAATTATTAATTAATCTGTCTCTTGATAGTACTAGTTTACTCATTAGTATATTACAGCAAAATATGCAAGTGCACAGCTTTAGGTTGGAATTCAACTATATAATTAAACCAAATTAGATTTTCATGTACTTTTAATATTTTATACCAAACACAGAGCAATTTTTTGCCATCTTACAGAGCAAAAATGCACCCAGGAGTGGCCACAATACAGGGGCAGAGCAAGTGGGCATTGAAACAAATGGCCCTACGTTCCATCCATGACATCTTCACATAAAATGAGCACAGGTAGCAGGGCTACAAAAGAGTCAGTGCTGGAGACTCTTGAGATCTGCTAGGCAGGCTACTGGTCTAACTCAGAATCAATATATCAGCTTTATATATTCAGCACAAGTATCTCTTAAAAGGTTCAAACATGGCAGCTTAGTAGGCTATGATTCATTTCTTCTATCAGTAGGGTGTACCTCTGTGAAATAACTGGGGAGAGCCTGGAAGAAGAAAAAGGCAGAAACAGTAGGACACAAAAGGTTTCAGTGTAGCAGTTACTTTGGGATCACAGGCTTGGCAAGAGAGAGGGAGCACGTGTTTGAATGCCTGCAGAAACGAATTTTCAAGGGAAGTTTAATAGTTTTAATTTTAATGATAAGCAGGGCTTTTTCCCCAGCTGGGGATCACTGGAACTCATCAGCACCTCTTAGGTGGGCACCATTGCCATTGTAAGAGAATAAGGGAAAGTTCATGGCACCTTTTTTTTTTAAATAGAAAAACAGCATTGATAATAAGTGCCTGCCATTGAAGATGAACAAAGGAACCTTCAGAGGATGGACTTGACCGAGTGGAAAGGCCTTTGGCCACTACAAGTTATGGATCCCTGCCACCTACTGCAGCTCTCTGCAATATATCCTATTCTATTTTGGAGGGTACAAAAGTGAGTTGTATGACCTGACTTGCAAGAACTGAAGTGCTTTCCACAAAGGCAAAGACACCATGGATTTTACCTGAAACATTAAAAGGGCATGTGTAATATTAAGAGGCCAAATTCAGATCATAGGTAAGGGACATGTTCATGCATTTCTTTACCCAAGCTGAGGTGGTAGAGCTTTCTAGTGTTGTGTGCTACAGGCTGCCACACTGAGAACCCCCACCAGTGCTTGATCAGTCCCAAGATGCCTCAGGATCTCAGTCGTTAATACTACAGCAAACATACTATGCTTATGCAATGAAAAATGCCGGGGCCCATAAGCAGGAGCTGCTCAGAGAGGTGGCTGCTTGCCGAGGGGACATCCATTTCATGTCAACATTCTTTCTTTTCTTCCAGACAAATAGCAATAATGTACATATGGCCTACAGTTTAAATAACAAGAAAGAAAGAAAGAAAGAAAGAAAGAAAGAAAGAAAGAAAGAAAGAAAGAATACCTGTTCCAGTAGCTCCAGAACTGGTCATGTAGATAGGCTTGGTGGCTACACTCATCTCCAAAAGAGGCTTTGCTTTCAATCCAATGAATGATATGACCTTCTACAGCTAAATGGAGGGGGGGGGGATAATACATTTTTAAAATGAACCCAAACCCTTACAAATTCTTAAAATCACAGTAAATGAATATATCTTAAGAATAATCTAACACAATTTATTGTTATGCAAGGCTTCCTCGGTTTTAAACCGTACTGAAAAACACAGTCACTCAATCTTTTCACAGTGTGCTTGCATCTTTAAGGGTTCAATTATTTATGGGCAGAATAATTGGGTATTATGTCCCCAATGAAGTGTTAGGGGAAATACAGAGACTGTGAAGCTTGTGTGGGAAAGGCAGAAACATGGGCACAATATTGCTGTACCATGTTGTACCACAAGACTGGGAAACCTACGCACCTCCAGATGTTGCTAGAGGTGATATGATAACTATCTTCAAATATCTGAAGGGCTGTTACATGGAAGATGGAACAAGCTTCTTTTCTGCTGCTCTAGAAGTTTGGATCTGAACCAATGGATTCAAGGAGATCCTGACTAAACATTAGGAAAAACTTTCTGATGGTAGTAATTTTTCATTCTTTTTATACTAAAAAAAATTGTATTTCAAAAGCAAGATGAGATTTTTAAAAAGGTGCATGGGCACAGGTAAACAAATACATGCATGCAAGCCCACAATGGACCTCAGGTTTCCTTGCACTGAGTGGCACTTATATTTTTCTAAAATGATTTTTAGAATTGCTCTTTTGTGCAATTCTGGCATAGCAAGGGCTAGAAGTCAAGTGCTATGTCAAATCTATGATGTAGTTCTAATTCAGTTGCAAGACCAATGCAGGTGCTTAGCACACCTGCTAAACTTGTATATGCCAAGATTTTTCTGTGTGTATTTTTCATCTGTAACAGCCTGGTCAAATGGACCACTGTGTAGCAACACACAAACACACACACTGCAGCAGTGTTGGGACTTTCAGTAAGTGGGGCACAGCTGGATGTCTTTGACCTAATTACCATTTGCAGGATGCCTCTTTAGCTCCCATGACGCAATCTATCATTTGCACCATGGCAGCTAACCTGCATTCGCAACTGGGGCATTAGGAGTGGCACGAAGTCTGACAAATTATGGTTAAAGTTTGTCTCACGGAGGAACAGTATTTTAGCTTTTGCAATGACTGAGGATAAAGCAGATTTTAAAATATTTGTCTCAGGTCAACAGCTTACACATTTGAATAAATCCAGATGCTTCTATGACATGTTTCTAGAACAGGTTTACTTATGGATCAGGGTCTTAGGTCAGTCTGGGATCTAAGTTTTTTTATCCCTCCCTCCCGCTCCGTAATTATTACAGGCATTGTTTCATTACTGTGAATATCTAACAGAGTGTTATGATTATCCTGTGTCTCCCATAATGCCTTTAAGAACGTTAGCTTTTCAGTATAAACAGATTCACCCACCAAAGCTTAAAAACCTCATGGACTCACCGACTGGCACCTCTAATATGAAATCTGGTGTTTTGTCATAACCTTTTGCACGTAACTGATCTTCAGCTATAAAGAGAATAAATATTATAAACAATAGTATTATTCTTTTAACCAGATAGCAGAATAATTAATTTTCTTTTGAACGGAGGTACAAGAATTACTAATGCACTCATACATATCCTTCTTACGCGTGCAATGCTGTGTCAGATTAAATGAACCTTCTTAGCAAACCTGATACATGAATATAAAAATGCTTCTTTGTCATCTCTGCATTTTTATGTCTTCATTATAAACATCATTAATTCAACCTGTCATACAGTACTTTGTTACTGAAAAATATTCAAAATAAAATATTTTAGTTGATTGGATCTCTCTGAAAGTAACTTTAAGAAATAGCTAGTGTTATCACAATGAAGACATGCTGTACTTTCCGCTCAATTTATACGTTGGGTGGAAATGAGAATAAAATCGAATCATTTAAAAGTTTTTATAGGACACAGAAGTTATTCTAGCCTCTTAATTTGCTTCCATGTTGAACTATCTAGCATTGAGCCATCACATTCCAGTGGCACATAGACAGACACGAAGTCCAAGTTCAAACATAATGGGAAATTGTGACTTTTCACTTTGAGGATGAGCTGCGGCAAGCCTCAGGTTCACAAGTTTCACCCAGAGGTGGATTTAGGTTAGTGCAATTGGTAGTGGGTGCCGTGCTGCATGGGAGTGTAGATGGAGCATGAGAAACAGGAGGGACATGCTGAATTTTAGCATCGCACAGAGTGCTGCTGAAATTTGAGAGCCCAAAGTCTGCCAGTGCTTCACCCTCCCCTTTACTTATATGCAAGGGGATGGAAATTAAAAGCTTTTTTTTTGCACTTTGCACTACACTGAAGTTTCCCATCAGCTGTGTTCATACACAGCAGAAAGCCAAGGTTCTTCACTTAATAAACAATACATGTGTGATGGTACATGTAAACTAATCAATCTCATTTTTCTTCTTTTCTTTTCTGGGAAAACAAACCAGGAAGGGGATAGCTTAGCGTTGTGTCTGAATCTGGGATCACCTTTTCCCTAACAAATCAGTAAGCCAACAGCAAACCATGATTCAAGGCTGACTAGCAACAATAGTTAATCAAAATATGAGAAATCATGAGACCCTGGTTTGTTATGATTCGCTGTGATTGGATAAAATGACACTTTTCTAGATTTAAATGCAACAGAAAACTGTTGCTTGTTTCAAACTGCAGATGGAAGCTTTAACTTTTTACCCTTATGAATGAAGAAGGATGGGATATTCAAGCCTGAGACTCTGGCATTTTCTTGAGGTTTGAAGTGGTACATCTAGTATTCTATCATAGACTAACAGAATTCACCTAATTCTGAAAAGTGCTTTTGATATTTATGAATGCCAATTTTTGAAGAATGCTTAGGAAATAAACTCTTCACGTATTGTTTCTCAAAGTGGAAGACACACTACAGCAGCTTTCTAGTATTTGAAAATAGTATTCTGTTATGTTCTACTAGTATGCTCAAATCATAACATGTATTGAGCATTGATGTAAACTCCATCAATAATATCTTAATAGATATAAAAAGTATGTAAAATATTTATTTAATTATTATTTTTTAAATGACATTACTACTGTAGTAGGTGGGGATCTCACTTTTGGCTAAGCCTTTCTAGGTGAAAAACAGCAACTTTCTTGCATTGAGTGTTTTCCAATCAACGCAACAAAATCCAAAGAGTGAGATCATGCTTTCTAGCGAAGTCCAATGATTATTTAAATACAGTAGTACCTTGGGTTAAGTACTTAATTCGTTCCGGAGGTCCGTTCTTAACCTGAAACTGTTCTTAACCTGAAGCACCACTTTAGCTAATGGGGCCTCCCGCTGCCACCACGCCACTGGAACACGATTTTTGTTCTCATCCTGAAGCAAAGTTCTTAACCTGAAGCACTATATCTGGGTTAGTGGAGTCTGTAACCTGAAGCATATGTAACCTGAAGCGTATGTAACCTGAGGTACCACTGTAATAAGAACTGCATTAAGCAAGTGTTAACTGCAAAAAATTAAAGTGATACTTCTACAGTGAACAGCAATAATATTCTTATAAAGGTTAACATTTTGCATTGTTAGATTAGAGATAATGCAAGAAGGCTTAATATACTTGTTCAAAAATATGAAGGAATAAACATGCTTCTAAGGAAACCAGTGGTGGTGGTTGTTTTATTTTTAATACATGAAGCATTATGCAGCTAATATTTCTTATGCTTCCTACTGTGTCTCCTAAGACCTAGATTATGGCTAATATCTCATGACACCAAAAGTAATACCGCAGCTGATATTAAAGCATTTTTCCCAGCTACTTATTCTATAAAATATTAATTGCTAGCTTGTGCCCGTGCAGTATGGGGTATTAGGTAACTGAGTTCCTGCTCAAGTCTAAATCAATAAAAGATAACATGTACCTCATCAATCATTTCTTAGCCTCTCTTTACTATCTAATACAGGATATCTATGGAGACCTCTTTTGGAAAAGCTACTGAGATGTGGAATGTTTAGGTACTAGATTAAAATATAAAATCTTACCTAAAAAAGATATATTTTTCTCCAAAAGCATTTCTTGCAATAAGACTTCATGCTCATGTCCAACTGCACTGATTTTTTTTCCATCAAGGAAGGAAAGGCATAGTGTTTGAAATAAAATTCAGTTTTAGAATTATATGATGCTGAATACAGTTATGCAGCAGTGAATACTGACTAGCTTGGTGGAATGATTCCAACCCCCCCCCGGAAGCCATTTTTAATCCACAAAGTAGAAAGAGAAAGAAGCATTAGTGGGTCACACAAAGAATGCCAATATATTATTTATTTAAAATATATCCTAACCTTAATCCAAAGCTCTGAGGGTAGGTAACATTAACTTTGGCAAAATAAGAAGCCTGTATTAGTTAAAATCACACATAAATATTTAAGTTTAAATGAGAGCAGGGTTTAATAATTTTCCTGAGATGAACTTCTGATTCTACTTGGCTCCTGCTATTTGTTTTAACTGTTTTGTTATGCTTTTAAATAGTTGCTTTTATTGCACATTTTAATTATGGGAGTATTAGCACCCAATAGAATTGTTAATGCATATTTTAATTATGTGTTGATTTTTATAGTTGTAAACCACTTAGAAGCCAGCTAGTGGCTCCATTCAAAAGCCAAGCAGACACATTTTGCCCGAGAAACAATCTTCAATAGTACTCCAAATGATATAATCTGAATGGGAGGTACCAGACCATAAATTACTGTGATCAGGCTATCGCTGTCTAGGAACCGTTGTAGCTAATAAACCAGAAATAGTTGAGAGAAGGCACTCCGTACCACTGCAGACACCTAAGTTTCCAGTGAGTAAGTCAAATCAAAGAGTGTCTCCCAACTACAAACCTGCTCCTTGATTAAGAGTGTGAAAACAGGTTGTCCATCTAATTCCTGAACACAGAAACCACTAGTCACAGAAGTTCAGTCCTCTCACAATTTAGTTTCGATTTATTAGCCCACATCCAACCCATCAAAATGGACAGTGACCAGAGAACAGTTAGAACCTGCATAGTCTCAGATGCCAATGAGAAATACTGCATACTGAGGCTGCCCAACTCCCAAACCCCTTATGACCTCACCCAGGAGTCTCATACAGATATCTCCCAGGGCCATCCTTTCTACCCAATCTTTATGTAGAAATGGAATCACCATAATGCCATGCATTCCATTCCCACACCAAAGAGGCAGTCTAGTAGGATACTGTGCTTCATTGTATTGAAAGCCACTGAGAAATTCAGCAAATAATATGCACCTCTTCTTTCTATACATTCATTTGAAATCTGTTTTGTTATGGAAGTTATCATAGAATATATCTCTGCATTGCTACCAACCTTTGTTATATCGTGATAGAAAAAGCAATTTATAATTATGAATAAACTATCAGCTGATGAATTAACTTCACAGATGTTTTTAAAACATTTTAACTATAAATGGATTTCCCATTCTTATTAATCTCTAATTTCTAGAAGGAATAACAGCTTGAATACAAAAAGAATAAGAAGAAACAGCACCACACAAATATAACATTGCAATAGAAATCATGTACTGCATTAAACTCTAATATAATGACAGAGCCAAAGAAAGAAAATGAATGATCACAAAAAATGTAAGATAAATTCTACGAACAAAATTTATAATGTACCATAAGCAGAAACACTTAGACTTGGCCTACAGTAATACCTGTTATTGATGTATGGCACTGATCATGGGGCAAAACTTGTAAATAACCTCACGAGCCATTTTCTACTCATGCAATCCAGCAGTCTAGTTTCCCGTAAGCAGCCAAACTATTACTGAAAAATAGCCTCCTGGCATTTACAAAGAGGTTGACTTCATTCTTTAGTCCATGCATATATAATTAGATAGTTGTATTTAAAATCAATATGCAATCCTTAGAAGACATTATGCTTTTAAAACCTTAACTTTAAATTGATTTAAAGCTACTTTGTATGCCTTAAAACTAACAACTAAGGCTGCAAGCCTAACCCCACTTCCCTAGGTGTAGGGTTGCAACCCTAACCATGTCTGTTCAGAAGAAAGTACCGGTACTATTCCATTCAACTGGACTTAGTCTCAGGTAAATGAGGTCAGCGTTGCAGAGAAATTCAAAAACATATATTCACAAATAATAACTTCCTACACAGTCTGGGATAATGCAACCTGTCCCATGGCTGACAATTTTATTTTTTTTAAAAAAACTATTACCATGGTGTTCTGTGAAAACTGATCAGAAATTATGAGGATCTACAATGTGCATAAAATACCATATAGCAAATATCATTTAGAGTTTTCTCAAGAGCATTTTTTTTCACCCTGTGCAATGGTCAGGGCTAGAACAAGATGTAGCTCAGAATGGCTGCACAATCCTGCACTAATGTACCATGCAGATAAAGCAATTTGAGTAGCACAGAAGGAATCTCACTGCCTCCTCTGGGGTTCCCAAAATAAGTTAATGGAAGCAAAGTTTCCTGATAATCTACTCCAGCATCTACCTCTGCAAAACCTCTCCAGAGGCTTGTGAGGACCTTTTGAAACATCTGGGGATGGAGTGGTGTGTGAGGTGGAGGAATTGTTCAAAACAGGACTGGGTGTGAGCCCAGTAACTGACCTTTATGATTGAATAGGGATCTGAATTCTATTACTTAATTTGTGACTTGTGAGCAGGCCCAGGTGCATATTTTGCAACACTGAATTAAATGTTCCTACATATAACCAAGCCATGTAGAACAGTAGATGGGAGGTTTCAGGCATACAGGCAGCTGTGCTGTTCCTCATTAATCTCTCTCAAAGGCACTATGGAAGGCACTTTGCCGCTCTCAAAGAGTTCTCTGGGGTATTTTATTTTTGTTTTATGCAAGTAGGTAGACCTCAGGTCACAGGATCTATTTTGTTTTTAACTAGAACCCCAATATCTAATGCCAGAGCTATGTGCAAAGCAGTAGCTTGCGGGAAGAGCAATGGAGTGGGGCAGAATTAATTACCTACTTCACCCCACTAAGTGCTATGTGGGACTGATTTGCACACACAGTTGTGGAGATGTCGCATTGGCAGAGACCAAAGCCCTGGTGCTCCCTAGCCCTGGATGTTACGTAGTAGGCATCAGGGAGGAGGGGGAAAGTCTCCCTATGGCTACCATGGAACCTTCAAAGAGTAGCAGCTGAAAAAGGCTCAGCATGGTGCCCACAGAGCCTTCATTAGGCACCCCTTCTATTAGGAAGCAGGATACTGCCCAGTTGCCCAAATGAGGAGATATCCTGGATGCCCTAGAGAACTGACCTGCACGTTACACTATGGCTTAGCAGGACTGTGTGGATGTGCAGGTTCCTGGATAGAAGCTCATAGCTGCTTTGCACTTCTCTGCTATGCTGAGCTATGCCAAACTTTGGCTTAGCTCGTCGTCCAAACTGGGGCTTGTGGTTAAGCTCTCTCCTCACTAACCACAAACAGCAACCCACTGGCTGATCATGATATGTGAACCAGGCCATTTTGTGGGGAGAGCCATCCCGAGTACACCTGATATAGGAAACCAGATAGAATTTGCTGAAGTAATCATCAGCTGCTGCTGATTCACTTTGATTTTACCATGCTTTGAAAATTACCTGTTTATGTTTTCAATTTAGATTTTTTGAGCTTTTTGGGAAGGTAGTACCAATTTAAAAATTATTATACAAATAAAACTTGGGTGGAGATCTTACCTGGGGTTGGCATACAATTTTTTTACCATCCTAAAACTCAATATTTCCTGATAATATCCAGCGGACAAGTGATATAAAAAGGGACAGCCCCTAGACTGGGGGGGGGGACCTATGGCCCTCCAGTTGCTGTTGGACTACAATTCCCATCATCCCTGACCACTGCCCATGTTGACTGGGGCTGACTGAGTCCAACAATATCTGCAGAGCCTCAAGTTTCCTATCCTTGCTCCAAACAGTAAGAATTTTTTCAGTTTATAGACTTGAACAGAGTTACAGGTCTCCTCTTCATTGAAGAACTCAGTTCACCATCATCTTTCAAGTACTATGCAGAGCCCTAGTCTGAAGCACTGAGCTCCCATTATAAGGCTTTAGGAAGCTTTCTGTTCATCAGCTATCTTGAACTGTATTTGTCCACTTTGGACAGATGCAAGAACATGCAGATATTGTCACTTTTTCAAATACCCTTTGTCCAATGGAAAATGCAAAGCAGGTAACAATTTTTACAGTACTATGTAAGTTATGACAGCTAATAATTTGATACAAGATTACATATTTCATGTGACCAACAGCAACAGGATTCCATCTAAGCACAGGAAATGTATATCTACTGCACTGACAACTTTCATATGGCATATCTGATGTTAGTTAAACAGTGTAAGAGACAGGGTCTGCAATGACCCTCTTGTAGTTGATTGAATGTAAAAGAGAGGAGTATGATATGTGTTTTGTGAAGCAGAACTTTATGTCAGGTTAAAGCCAGACACGTCTCCTCCACAGAGTCTAAGCTCATCAATTGTGCACCTAAACTTTTATGAGAAAGGATACTGTTTGATGCAGTCCACCAGCGGTCCATAACAATAGTCATTCACAGTACACTGCAGACAAATAAGAAAAGTAGTACAGTGATGGGCAACTGCAGAACTATTACAGTTAAACAGAATCCTAAAAAACAGTAATTACTTTTCTTCATAAGGGCCATCAAAAGCTTTTCAGAGTTAGTCACGGAAAACAAAAATTGCATGCTTTTTATTCTCTATAAAAACAACCCATTAAAAAGCGAAATGCTCTCTTCACAAATATTGCATTGCCATTTATGCATTGCCTGACCTCAGTGATAGATTATGATGACAGTAATTAAATGAGGTTTAAAATCCTTTACATTGCCAGGCAGATAACGGCACAGCCACCAAGAGATGAATACCTGATAGATCTGGTTTGCTAGAATTCTATCTGGAATCTGAGAAGGGTCCCGCAGCATACTGTTTATAAGAGTTTTGGAAGCTGTGGAGGAAGAAGATGATACTGTAAGTGTCGCTGTAAACATGTCACTAACCAGCTGTCGGGGGGTGGGGGGTGGAGGGAGTGAAACATGCTAAGAAAACACAAATAACATCTGAATGCATTCCGTTTTCAAAACTGATGTAATCCTGCACAGTTTTGTATGCACAATTCACCTAATTCAATAAAATGTAAGCAGTGCACAATTGTGCACTTGACTGCCATGATTCAGAAACTAGGTGAGTAATTATAAAACTCTTTTAAACATGGAAAATGGTATTACATTACAGTAAAATGATGATGATGGAAACAAACAAACAAGCATTTAAATTATAATGTTTATATTCTGCTTTTCTTTAAATTTCAAAATGGCTTAAAATTGAAAATGGTAACAAATGAACCACCACCACAAGAAACAAGTTGTCATAGGATTTAAAGATCAACACTAGCACTAGTGCAACTAGGTGTCTCCCAAGACAGATGGATACCAACCATTACGATGCTGTACTTGCCTTTCTACATATAAAATGAATGGTGTTAAATTAAGTTTAACTCAGAGTAGACTCATTGAAATGTTAATTTCAATGGGTTAACTTCTGTGGGTCTGCTCTGAGTAAAACTGTGTATCTTCTATGCCCCTTATTCCCTGAAACCTCAGTTTCTGTATCAGTGGTGCCAGGTACACCTTTGTGGAAAGGAAATTCCACAACTTACTGAACATAACACCCAAGAGGGTCTTTTAAATATTTGAGGTATTTGAGGTCTCCCAGCAAAGTTGCATATGGAGGCAAGGAAGGTCCTTTCCTCAAATTTGTTGTTGTTTAGTCGTTTACTCGTGTCCGACTCTTCGTGACCCCATGGACCAGAGCACGCCAGGCACTCCTGTCTTCCACTGCCTCCTGCAGTTTGGTCAAACTCATGTTGGTAGCTTCAAGAACACTGTTCAACCATCTCATCCTCTGCAGTCCCCTTCTCCTTGTGCCCTCAATCTTTCCCAACATCAGGGTCTTTTTCAGGGAGTCTTCTCTTCTCACGAGGTGGCCAAAGTATTGGAGCCTCAGTTCCAATACTCAAATACTAAAGTATAAAACTATAATCCTGTGGAGTCAATCTGTATCAATAGGGGGAAGCTGCAGTAGCTGTTCCATCCCTCCATCTATCATATGTCCACATACTGATCATATGCAGACATGTGGTGAGATCAGTACCTATTCCTCATATTCACCTTCCTAGAATACAACATGTACCTAAAGCGAAATTTCAACACAGACAACAGAATTTGCTTTTCAAATCCCACAGTGTACTTTCACTTATCTTTGGAGAAGGCTTTTTATTGGAAAATGCACCCCTGCCTTTGAAAAGGGTAGAACAAACAAAAAGTAATACAGAATTAAAATACAGAAAATTGTTTCTCTGTTCATGCCACTGTTTTGCCAAGGCACCAGGGAGACTGATTACAGCATTTATTAAATAAATGTTACCTTAAAATTCAGGTATTACAGTGAATACAGAAGGTTGAACACCGCCCCTCCCCATTAATCTGACGAAGGGCAGGATATCAACTGACCAAATAAATAAAATGAACACCTATATAATACCAATATAAACTAGCATATAGCTTTAAAAACAAAATGTAATAATTTTGGTACAGTATTTTAAAAGGTGGAACTTATTAAAAATTTTTGCAAGTACTTAATTGTGGTCAGGGAGAGTTTCAATTATTTTCTTGAAATTATGAACTGACTTGGACCCATGATCATCATCCGACGCCCTTCTCCATGTGCCTCCTCTGTGAGAGGTCCAAAAAGTGGCAACATGAGAGTGGGCCTTTTCTGTGGTGGCTTCCTGTTTGTGGGAGGCTTGCCTGGCGCCCTCATTACACACCTTTGGTTGCCAGGTGAAAAGGTTTCTCTATAACCAGGCCTTTGGCTGATTAACATTTCCATGGGCATTTACAGTGGATCCTCCGGATACGAATTATGGTAAATTTGTTCTGGGGGGTCCATCGCAACCTGAAAAGTCCGTAGGCAGAGGCGCTGCTTCAGCGCACGGCACGATCGAGCGCTTCTGCGAATGCGCGCACGGCGAAACCCAGAAATATACACTTCCGGGTTTGCCGCGTTCGTAACCCGGACGTTACGTATCCAGAGCGGTACGTAACTAGAGGAGCCACTGTAGATGTATTTGTGGATGGGAGTTATCGGTTTTCTTTTGTTTTATTATGTATTTTGTGTTATCCTTTTATGTTGTGACTTGTCCTGTGATCTTTGGATGAAAGGTGGTATACAAATTAAATAAATAAATAAATAAATAAATAATACTTATGGAAAACCACAGCAGCTATATTTAATAAACTGAAGCCATCCATTAAACATCAATCCATTTTCTTATGCTGAGCATAAACTAAATTACATGTTTCTATTTCCAAATAAATACTGCAAATGCTTAAAATATATTTATTGCCATTAACTTAATTAGGATGCTAAACAATAATTAAACTGAATCCAGACAGGCTAATCTGTTTTAGGATTAGTATTTCTATAAATTTTTCCTAGGATTCTATATTTTACATTTAATCCACATGTTCATGTAAAAATAGCCAAAGCAAATCAGTACAAAAGAAATTTTCCTTCCCGCCCCCTTACCAGCATAATTCTGACCACCAAAAGGCAGACAATTTGGGGGGGGGGACTATTAGAGCTCTGGTTTAGCTTAATCGCCATGGGAAGGAATTTCTTCATTTTCTTTAATTTATATACCACTCTCCATACAAAAATCCCAGTATGGTTTACATAACAAAAGCATCTGCTCAACAGATACTCTACAAAATACTGCAAAACAAGCAAATCCAGCGGCAGCGGCCTAATACAATACCAATTCACTGAACCTCCCACAAATTCCTGTGTGAAGAGGTCAGTGTTTTGGAGAGGTGAGCCATTGTCGTAGCTGCCTTGCCAATACACTTGTCCAGCTCAGGGTCGATGGAGAAGCTGCTGGTTAAGGTGGAGCCAATGTAGACAAAATCATCTACCACCGCAAGCATGTGGTCACCAATGCTGATGTGTGGAATGCTGGCTGCATCCTGACCCAATATGCCGAACTCTACGCAGGCTTGGGGGAAACGGTTGATGAGGCACTATCTGCCACTAAACCCACCTGGGCCTCAAATGATCAAAGTACGGATGAGAACTGTTATATTGTGAATTGACCAGTTGTAGGAGAATGGCACTTCTTGCTCTCATAGCATATTGGGCAAAAATTACCATGTAGTAGATTCTCTCAGCTGAACTGGAAGATTGTTATGGGACACAGGTTACATGTGTGGGATGGGAGTGGGCCAAGCTTTTCACCACTTTTAATGAGAGAGTCAGAGCATATGGAATGCTGCCCCAAATTGCATCCCTGCAGAGAGATCTTCCCTTCCATTTGTCATAACATCATTACCGCATGGACAAACATCATTGCATTGAGACTCCCCATGCCACAATCATGGCAGCCACAATCAAGGACATGAAGAATTACCAGATGAGAGCAGTTATCCATGGCAAAAGCTTTGCTTAGCATTTCAGCGGAGTTGAGTAGAATTTGGCATGGGGTTGTGTTTTCATGGTGGCTATAATATATGCCCAAAATGTAAAAATGTAAATATTCTATTATTATTATTATTATTATTATTATTATTATTATTATTGAATAGTGCATTGTCATTTCCTGTGCAATCCCTGTCAAAAAGAGTCACACAGTTCAGGAAAATTTGGGTACACATATCAAGTTTTCAGAGGCATTTTAAAAGGCTTTTAAAATGCAGCCACTATATGTCTAATATGCACCTCCGACACGGTGTAGTTTACAAGCATTGAATAACAGATGACAAGATGGCTATCTGGAAGCAATCAGATCACCTGTGCAAAAAAAAACTTCCAAATGAACTTCATTATCAGCCTGATAATTATCATTATGCATGTTTGTTGCATGTGAACTAGCAATTAAAATAAGCTTATCTAATGAAAAAAGTAATTATAGCCTCTTCTCAGCGTACATATTTTGCTGTGGATAGATGACCAGTCACACCAACTTAAAATGAATTAATATTCTCTTGGTAATATGGCTTTTGTGCTATAGCCAACTCCTTGAGCTTCCCTGAAAACCATCCTAGATCAGGGAAAACTATGAAACTGGCACTATATGAGAAAAAATATCCAGCCAAGGAGCTTTCACCATTAATAATGGCAGTATATAATTATTAAATTTAAAGTTAATGGAGGTTGCAAGAAAATACAAAGCAAAAGGAACAGATAAAGGGGAGAAAGACTAGCACTTCAGAAGGCAAGCAGAGAGTGCATATTTGAATATTTTCCCACAGCAAAGATGTGGTCGTACATAGAAAACTGCAGTGGCTCCCTGACATTCTAACTTTCCACCAACAGGAAGAAAGTGCTGACATAGAGGATCATCTTCATGACTACATTCTGAAGTCATATAGTCCTAGGTGAATTAAGTACAACTTATATGGAGACTGATCAGTAGAAGACACGACTGATCAGCGTGCCTGCTGTTTCTTTGTGCCATTTCTGTATTTAACACAGGTATATATTGCTTTACATAAAACAACAAATGGTGTACAACATAAAATTTCATTGGGCTAGGAGGCTTGGACCTTCCTAAACATAGAGATCCACTGACACGGAGGTCCCAGTGCTGGATTTGACAACTGAAGCTGCTAAAACCAGGTTGCTAGCAGTTTAAGCGCTTTCCTTCCTGTCAATAGCGTTACTCACATCCAAGATCCAATCCGCAGGACTAGAACCCCTATCAAGAGCTCTGGTAGGAAGAAGCAAGTCACGGTGCTTCTTTTAAGTGGTGAGCCACAACATGTGGGAAAATGTACACCCCATCAGTTACACTTCTGGGGTTTCTGGCATTTTCTAACAGAACAGAAAAACTAGAATTTCAATTATTTTTAATGATGCTTCTTTGGTTGTGAAGAAAGACTTGAACGTATG